AATATTATGACCAATATGCAAAATAGAACTAAATGGAGTTTGACATTATTTTAACATATTAATATAAAATATAAGTACCCTATCAACTAACATTGTATGAAACTTGGAGTTAAACTTAAGCCAAATGTAAGCTAAATTTAAACTATGCTTTAAATTGATTAGCTATGCCCAACTTATCCATTATTTCTACTATGCATTTAGAACCCTTTACAGTCACATCAAATATTACTTGGATGAACAAAGGCTGTGGGACATGACCATTAGAGACCTTGACCCTCCCCAAGATGAACAGGACAAATAAGCTGCATTTAATTGCAAAGCCCTTGGCAAGGTTTTCCAAGCCTTACACACACAAGACTTTTGAGCAATATCACGTTGCACAAAAGCATGTGATGTGTGGGCAACCCTTACAGCAATTCATACACCCACTAATCATGTGCATCTTTGCCAGAAGCTCTACTTCATGGGAATGTCTGAGGCCAATGACCTTGCCACACATGTTGCTAGTTGCTGTGGGCGCACAGATGGATGAAGCTGAGGAATATGAGTCTCCTCAGCTCGCTCCCCTCCTCCTTCGACGCAACCATCCAGTCACTTCAACCCACAGTCCCCAGTGGTCAAATTTCCTGGCGAGAAGTCACGACAGCGTTACACAACACTGCCTTGCAACGAAAAACGATGGAAAAGAGTGAGACTTCTTCCGACAATACCATAGCTCGGCCAAGCAAGAAGAAACTGTCACGTTCCAATGGGAGTTCTTCCAGCACAACCAGAAAATTCAACCCCTGCCCACATTGCAAGAAAACAAATCATGCTGAACACAACTGTTGGTTCAAATACCCAGAGAAATGACCGAAGACGAAGGCTAAGGCATTGATGGTTCATCAAGCTGATGCAACAGCTTTTGTCTCAGTACGTTCACTCTATATTGCATTTAAAAATCAAGAAACGTTTTTCTTTGATTCAGGAGCGACGGATCACTTGACGCACGACGCTCAGTGGTTCAAGACGCTCCAAGATGTTGATCCACCAGCCATAGTTGCAGTAGGGGATGGAAGACAGCTCCAGATCACTGGTCGAGGTACCATCTTGCTCAAACTTGAGAGTGGTTTTAGCACCACGATTCATGATGTATACCTTGTTTCAACACTAAGTGCGAACTTGCTCTCTGTCGGCCAACTCACTGAATCTGGATTTGACATTCGTTTTGGCAAATCTGGATGCACTTTGCTCACTCCCGCGGGTGACTTAGGATTTGCTGGCCTCGACAGCTGGGAAGGTCTATACAAGCTTTGTATGGAGCCAATGAGCTGCTGAAGTGGTTGAACGCCCTCATCAGTTCCTCACGTTCATGGCTTCTACCCTGGACGAGCTTGAGCTGTGGCATCGCCGTTTCGGCCATGCGACCACACAGCGCATTGCTCAGCTCACGAACTTGTCGAAGGCCTTGATTCCCTTCACAACCACTGCAAAACTCTCCTTTTGCGATGGTTGCCAGCTCGGGAAACAACACAAGCTTCCTTTTCCAAAGCGAGGAGCACGACGCGGCTCTGAAATACTAGAACTTGTTCATAGTGACATTTGGGGCCCTCTCCCCATGAGGTTCATGGTTTTTCATGAGTTTCATTGATGATCACAGCAGAAAAACCTTTGTTTTCTGTCTGGCATCAAAATCACAAGCTCTGGAAAAACTCGAGGTTTTCAAATCTCTTGCGGAAAATCAAACGGGCAAGCAGCTCAAACGTTTTCGTTCAGATGGAGGTGGTGAATCACCTCCATCTGAACTCATGCAAGTTCTCAACAGTGACAAGGATGGTCTTCCGGCAGCCAGCATCACTGCCAGAGTAGACGCAGAACGATCCCGCCAGCTAAGAGAGAAACTACAAGTTAAAGAACCTGGTGGAGATATACCCAGAGAGCTGTACCAAAACGGAACTTCCATGTCCTCCGGGACGTTTGGCAGAAATTCGTAAACAAGCATATGTTGTGTGGGCAGACGAGGTTGTGTGTGAAGATCCTTTGCCGATCGCATTAACAAAAACTGGATGGAGTGCCTTTGGGAGTGCTCAAGAAGAGATCCGTCATCTTTGAGCCAGAGCTCAGGAAGTACGAGGCGGTCCCAGCACGGCCGTGAACCAGCCCATCGCTGGACTTTCCAGGTTATTTCGGGGCTGGTCAGGATTGTGCTTGTGTTTCGGGAGGTCGAGAAAGCGGAATCTGAGCAATTGTTTTTTTTTTTTTGGTGAACCAGACTGGCAAGAGGCCATTGCTGGAAGTACTGGTCGCTGCATCTTTACTGGCTGTCGTCTCTTAAATTCGCTGTGAACACTTTTTCCAGTGATGAAAACCAGATCATCTCCAAGAATTCTCTCAGGTGTGTAGTTCTAAATTGGATGAATTTTGACGTAAGACTACATATCCATACCTAAATAAAGAGCATGGAGAATATCTAATGAACAGGTAGAAATGTAAGCTTTATATTTGTCTTGAGCTTTATAATAAACTTCCCTGAGGTAACCTTTTCCTCTTACCTAACGGACACACAAGTATATTAACAGATGAAACTAAATATCCAGTTTCTACCAATTCTGGGCCATTTTTGGATGGTAAGTTTTCTTTTTGTTTTTCTTCTTTAAATTTAATTTTTTTTTTTTAGGGATTTACCTTGGATTACATGTCAATTGCCATTGGTGGCATTTGCTATGGTGATAAGGCTGAAGCTGCCATTTGTCCCAGCTGCAAACAATACCCAGAAAGCCCCAAATTACATCAGTTGGCAAGTATGCCACGTCAACAGAGTAACTGGTAGGCATAAAAAAGGTGGTGGAGGGGCAAAATAACAAGAAGGAAAGTCACAGAAGGCAATACACTTGCAATCAATCATCAACTCTTTTTTTACTGCCTTCTAGATGAGTTTGACGACAAGTTGGCAATGGATTAATTTATTATAAAGTATTACTTCTTGTGTGATAGATAATATATATTTTGACAATGTAGCTTGCTTTGAGGGCCTGCATTGCCTGTTTTATCCCAATGGCTATCACGTCGGCTTCATCTACACCACTCAGTGAGAACTGGTCATTGTCTGAGTTAAAAGGATGTCTAGTACTTCACACTATCACTGAAGAAACTCTACAAAGGTCTTTCCTGCAAAACAGAACAAAGTTCCTTGGAGACTGGGCTTGGCCATCCTGACTCTAGCAAGTCATAGCTGGCATTTCAGGAGGTTTTAGCCATGGTCAGGACTAAACTAGTTAGTGTTTAAAGTTAGTTAATATTAATGTTCATATTTACGTTGTCTTTTACTTATATAAAAGTAGATATGATTGTATTTTATGAAATATACAAATCGCCACTTTGATTTGCATATAACTATTTTGTAACAGCTGTTATTGTGTTGCTTTCAACTTGTTTATGTTAGAACGAAAACACGTGGAAAACATGGGTCCCGTGGGATGGTTCAGCGTGAGCAGAGGATAAATACCGATCTCAGCAGCTCAAGAATCAGCAACACTGAGCATGGAGCCAATGGTATCGACAATCAAGGTAGCCATTCCAATCTTCAACAACATCACTGTGTTGGATGCAATTGGGCCGTACGAAGCGCTCCATCGCCTCCCGGGAGTGAGTGTTACCTTCGTGAGCGACAAGCCGGGCCTCGTTGTTGCAGACGAAGGCACATTCAAGATTGAAGCAAGCTCCGGCTTTGAAGATCTGCCCAATCCTGACATTCTGCTCGTTCCAGGAGGCCCTACCAAGCTCCTGCCGTTAGATCACAAGCCACTCCTCGACTACATCCGCAAGGTAATTGCTCGTTTCTTCATCCATTTCGATCGATCCAGCCCTGCTTGTTCTTGTGTCGATCTTCCAGGCTCACGAATGCACAACATTCACCACTTCAGTGTGCACTGGAGCTCTGATCCTCGGCGCGGCGGGATTGCTCAAGGGCGTGAAAGCCACGACGCACTGGGCCGCGTATCCGCAGCTTAAGGAATATGGTGCCAAGGTGACGAGCCAGAGGTACATCAAGCAGGGAAAGATCGTGACCGCTGCAGGAGTTTCTTCAGGGATCGACATGGCCATCTACTTGGCCTCGATCATCACGAATGAGAAGATTGCCAAAGCGGTGCAGCTGATGATCGAGTATGATCCGCAGCCGCCATACGATGCTGGCTCTCCTTGCAAGGCCGGGGAGGAGATTGTCAAGCTTGCCCATGAGCTGTGGATCGATAATCCCAAATAATCCCATCTCTTCTTGAATGCAAATCGTCTTATCAATGAGGTGATCGATCCTTAGTAGTAAATTTTAAATCCTTAGTAACTTCTCTTAGTAACTTTTAGTCCTTAGTAACTTTTAATCCTTAATACCTCAGTGGCGTGTTGAAGAGGAGCGCGCGATAATATTTGCTCGAGAGGTTTTTCGCAATTTTGTGCGCAGCGCATTCGTGCTTTGATGATCTCGAGCAGTAGACATTCTAAAAGAATGGAGCTGCCTGTGTTGTGTCTTTGGATTTTAGGGGTTTTAGAGGAGAAAATGGCCACCGTCACCAGAGATCAGGGCTCAGTTTCGTCTTGGCCGTCTCCTCGCGAATGTCATTAGCCACCAGAGCTTTCCCGGTGCTTTATTTCTTCTTGCTTCAGATTTTTTGTTCTCTCTCGGTCCTTCCTTTTCATGTCAATTTACTTCCTCTGAATTTGCTACTCTCTTTTGCAGGCAAGGAGCTTCACTCGGTACTGAAAACCCAGTTCCACGTTTGCCTTGTCTTCGAAATTCGTTTCAAGCATTGTTTTTGGTTCTCATCTTCGAACAAAAAATGTAGGAACTTGGTTGCGTGCGCGGAAGCCAATTGAAATTGCCGGAAGGTTTTTTTTTTTTCCATTTTCGCGAAGCTTACGGACTAAGGCATGTCGAACTGTAGCGTGCTTTTGCAGGGTCTAGCCAATTCTCCACAGTGAGTGTTGGAGCTTCTCCTGTAGCTGAAGAGATGGCTGTCAAAGAGGCTCCCAACGAGATCTTTTTGGAGGATTACAAGCCCACTGGCTATCACTTTGACACGGTAACGCACCGTACTAATTGGATGCTGATTTCGTTTTGTCCACCTTCTATCCAGGTCGAGAAATTTGTTGTCTGAGAAAAAGACAACCGTGGTGTTTAAGATCCGGGTTTTGCCGAGAAACTCAAGTATTTTCTTTTTCACTTTCGTTGTTTCGTTCGCTATCTTGGTAGTCATTAACCAGAAGCCATGCAGGTGAAAGCCCGCCATTGGTGTTGGATGGTCGTGACGTGAAACTTCTCTTTGTTAAAATCAACGACGAAGAACGGAAGCTGGAAGAAGTTGCGCTCACCAGCCGTCATCTGACGCTGAAGTCACTTCCTGTTCAGCCTTTTCTCAGGGTTCTGGATGTGATAAGGAGGTCGTTTCAGGAGAAGAATGGATCAAATGTGATAAGGAGGGCGTTTCTGACGTGCTATTGTCTTTCCTAGTGACTTAAGAAAGTCCAAGTGTTCGACTTATCGTGGCTTGGTCAACCTTAGCTCAGGCCGGCATTTGGCTTTTAAGCTTTTCACCAAGAGAGACACTAGCTAACTAAAGAGAGGAAATTATATCGTTCTTTATCCAGCTACTTGCAATTAGAGAGCTGGGCCGAATTTTCTAGTACGATTTGGATGGGGCGTTTAGAGGGATTCGTGTTCTTGATCGCCTCATATTGTCTGGGATGACAACAAATTTGAGCTAATCTTGCCCAGTGCCGATAAGGATCCTTGCCTGCGGACGGCATTAACTACTACTTTGAATTATTTTCTCGACTAAAGTAAAATTTATTGTCTTACTAACTAAACATTTTACATGCTTTTTGATGTTGGGTCATCATGGGAACTTATGGTTTTAACCTTGATGATTGAATAAATGAAATACTTTCTTGTGAGACTTTAGATATCCATTTAATAAGAGATATGTAGATTGAAAATAAGAGAAAGTAAGTATAAGTCCTAGTGATTAACCATAATTGTCAAAATAAGGTAAGAAACTCTAGCAGGAAAGCATGCATCTAAAAGGTCTTGTGGCTCGTGGATCAGGTCGCAGAAGTTTTCGTGGAAGCGATCCTGGTCCCAGAAGCCTCAGAGAAAATCGTGGAGGTAAATGTCTTGCTGATCAGACGACGATTCTCTTAGAACAGTGGAAGCTCTTTCTCGCAGATATGTGCAGGTGATGTCTAGAAGGGCAGCATCCAAGAACTATTCTTGCAAATTTGATCAATGCCAAAGTAAATCCTTGTTCTTTCATATTAGCAAATTTCACAAACACTTGCATTCATTTGTCACGTGCTTCCCGGTTGGGCACCACAAGATTATAAACAATAGATAGATAATATCCTTGAGAAACAAATATTGTGGGAAGCTTTTGCAAATCCCTCAAACATAAACAATTATGGCCTACCACACTACCTGACAGTTTTTTACCACTGTAGCAAAATCAAAGGAGTCTCACACAAAAAAAAAAAAGAAAGAAAGGGAACATGCACCAGCTGACCTGAGAGCTCAAAGTCAACGGAAATCAACGAAAGTCCAACACAGTTTTTGAAGACTTTCATTTTACCTCTTGCAAAAGAACAAACTCTAACAAGTGAACCTTAATAAAGCATTGATGTTATGACTTGATCTCAAAAAGCATTAATTTTTTCTCAAAACCAAGTTTACCAAGGCAATCCTAGGCCTGAGATCCAGCAATCGTTTGCCTTTAGTCTTAAGGAACTTTTGAGTTTCAATTCAAAACGAGTTTCTATGGTGCGCCATTGTCATACCTGAGTTGAGTTAAAGGTTGTCTAGTGCTTCACACGGCAGAGGCTGTGAAATAGAAGAATGAGTCACTTCCTGTTCAGCCTTTTGATTTAGAGATTGGCTCTGAGATACACCCGGAGACTAACTTGTCTCTCGAAGTAAGTGGGATCAAGTTTTTTAGTATGGTTACTTTTTTTTCTCCAACAGGGGCTCTACAAGTCTTCCAGCGGCATGTTTTGTACACAATGCGAAGCTGAAGGTTTTAGAAAAATAACCTTTTATCAGGTCTTTGTTTGTGACAATGTTTGGCTGATATTCTGGCGAGCTATTACAGGATCGGCCAGACGTTATGGCAAAGTTCACTACCAGGATAGAAGCGGACAAAGCACAGTATCCCGTTCTTTTGTCGAATGGCAACCTTATAGACTCCGGAGACCTCGAGGTTGGCATTGTTTCTTCACTGGCATTGTGTAGAGCCTGACGTGCTGTGGTCAGAATGGATTTCATTATGCTGTGTGGGAGGATCCTTTCAAAAAGCCTTGCTACCTCTTTGCCTTGGTAGCGGGGCAACTCACGTCCAGAGACGATACTTTTAAAACGCGTTCAGGAAGGGATGTTCAACTGAGGATTTGGACTCCTGCACAAGACGTCCCAAAGACAGAGCATGCTATGCATGCTCTCAAGCTTTCAATGAAGTGGGATGAGGATGTAAGTAGAAGTCTTTTTTCTCTCTCTGTCTCTTTTATCTCAACTTCGCACAGGTGTATGGGTTGGAGTATGATCTTGACCTGTTTAACATTGTCGCTGTTCCCGATTTCAACATGTAAGATGCCGTTGTTTTTGTTCGTTTTTGGTAACTGATGCATGGTGTAGGGGTGCTATGGAGAACAAGAGCTTGAATGTGAGTCTCTTTTTTGCTGTTGTATTCACTTAATTTTTCTATTCGTATCAGATATTCAACTCGAAACTTTAAAAACTCTTACTAAAAAAGAGCTTATTTGCAGATGGACAACTTCTATACGGGTATGAGCTTTAGAATTGTAGTTTTACCGCGACTGACATTTTGTTATCTGTCCTTACTATTGACGTAGTGACGGTAAGAAGTTCGAAAACGACATTGTTAGGCGTCTTAATTCTACGTCTATGTCTACAGGTGTATGAAAAGGGTGCGGAAGTGGTTCGCATGTACCAAACATTGCTTGGGAAAGATGGGTTTCGGAAGGTTTGTGTTCAGTGTTCTTATATCTTTGCAGACGGTGTTGCACAGGGCATGGACTTGTACTTTGAACGTCACGACGGACAAGCTGTAACTTGTGAGGATTTCTTTGCTGCTATGCGAGACGCTAATTCCGCCAATCTTTCAGTTTTCTTGAGATGGTAAGCTAATGCACAAGTGTTCACCTGCCTGACCATGTTCTTACAGGTATTCTCAAGCTGGAACACCCGTTCTTACTGTTTCGACAGCGTATGATGCTGCAGCTCGTAGCTATACTGTAAAGTGCAAGTAAGAGGTGGCCTTTCTATTCTTTATTTCTCCTGCGTTTTCTCCTTAGGCAAGAAATTCCTTCTACACCTGGGCAACCTGTGAAGGAGCCGACGTTAATACCATTGGCTGTGGGTCTGCTAAATTCAAAAGGCGAAGATATGGTGTTGACCGAGTTGTTTGATGGAGGATCACTCAAGTCATTGAAAGACACAGCGGGGGGACCTGCAAAGACAGCAGTACTTGTTGTTGATAAGGTGAGGGTGCATCTTGTTTGGTTTTGGTGTTCTAACCAGTGTACTTTTGCAGGAAGAGCAAGAGTTCACTTTTCTCAATTTGCCTGAGAAACCTGTGCCATCTTTCCTAAGAAACTTTAGTGCTCCCGTGCGCCTTGTGACGCCAACTGTGACGGATGACGATTTGCTCTTTTTGCTCGCGCATGACTCCGACGAGTTTAACAGATGGGAGGCTGGACAGACGATGGGAAGAAAACTTATGCTGGATCTTATTCCGAAAGCACAAAGAAACGAACAGCTCGCGGTTCCATCCGCATTTGTGGAAGGCATGCGCAGTATTCTCAACGATTCTTCGTTAGATAAGACATGTTTTTCTCATGCTTCTAGGCTCACATATTACAGGAATTTGTGGCAAAGGCACTAACACTTCCTGGAGAAAGCGAACTGATGGACTTGATGGAGGTTGCAGATCCAGATGCAGTACATACTGTCCGAAAATTCGTGATAAGAGAGCTTGCGTCGAAACTGAAGCAAGATTTCCTGAAAACTGTGAGTATAGACTTATCGTGTTTGTTTCTGCCATGACATCCGTTTTCTGATGCAGGTGACTGAAAACCGAAGTTCTGATCCGCACTACACATTCGATCACAAAAACAAAGCCAGGAGATCCTTAAAAAACCTCGCTCTCGGTGAGTCGCTTCCTTGATAGTTGTTCTCTTAGAGTTGAGTGCGTGATTTGCAGGCTACCTCTGCTCTCTGGACGAGGCGGACACTACTGAGCTTGCTTTGAACGAATACAAAAGCGCAACAAACATGACAGATCAATTTGCAGCCCTCTCTTCACTTTGCCAGAATCCTGGGGACGTGCGTGATGAAGCTTTGGCAAACTTCTACGAGCAGTGGAAGGACGAAACTTTGGTAAGAATTTCCTTTGCTTCCTTTTTCATGGAGACTGAGCAAAAACATGCAGGTTGTGAACAAATGGCTGGTGTTACAATCTATGTCTGATATCCCTGGAAATGTTAAGAACATGAGGCGATTGCTAGATCATCCGTCCTTCGATATGAAGAACCCAAACAAGGTTCCGTGTTTCAGATCACCTTTCTCAGGAGCTAAAACATCCCTTGCTACACAGGTGTATTCTTTGATCGGTCCTTTCTGTCGGACCGCTGTCAACTTTCACGCTAAAGATGGCTCTGGCTACGAGTTTCTGGCAGAGGTGACTTTGCAATTGGACAAAATGAATTCTCAGGTAACTCGCAAGCACACTTTCTTCGTATCTCAACTTCGTCCTCACAGATGGCATCGCGAATGGTATCGTCATTGTCGAGGTGGAAACGCTTTGATGAAGGCAGACAATCGCTGGCTAAGGTTAAGCAGTGTTTGTTTTCCAGGTCTTTTCTTCTGAAATGTGTGTGACTTTGTCCTTGTAGGCTCAACTGGAACGCATTGCTAAAACCGATGGCCTGTCAGAGAATGTGTTTGAGATCGCCTCCAAGAGCCTGGCAGCGTAAGAAAGATCAAGGAGTTCGCGATCGTAAGCTCGTTGTTGCATTCTTCTTGATAGATATACGAGCTATTTGCTTGGGAAAAATCACACCTTTTCAGGTCGAGCAAGCATTTGCCATAAGATTGTATACAGCTTCACCACTCAGCTCCTCAAAAGCCACCTCAATTCTTCCACTTTCTACAAGCCGCTGGTGCCACACCAACGGAGAAATCACCACCGCTTCGTCTAGACATCGTCCTCGCAAGCTTCACTCATCTTGTCCACCCGGCTCAAGATATCTGTCCTCCATCCCGGGATGAACACATACCGGCACTCGCGGCCTTTGATCAACAAGACCACCACCCGATATGCAGAAGATTGTGGCGCGGACGAAGCATCGGCGAGCTCATGAGTGGAAATTTTCTTCTCTTGGTCTTGCATCTTGGCTGTTGTTGATCGCATCGGTCTGTGCAGGGCATATGAAGCTCCTGACTAAGCGTAATCTGTATGATCCGGTGGAGGAAGAGCTCGTCCGGCGGCCTCACATCCTGGAAGAAAACAGATAAAGGTGAGGGAATTATAGCTATCTACTTGTGGATGGCCTCCTGCGTTCTTTCTGGAATTGGAACTCACAGACTCTACTATCACCGTCTAGAGACATATCCAATGACGAATAGTTTTTCTGGGGAGCTCCTTGCGGAAAATTTGGATTTCAGCATAACCATGGTCCCCACTGCTCTCTCGACTTCTTCTAAATCGTTGCAGGTGCGTATTATTTATTTTTCTCCAGAATTTCTAACCCATGGACAAGAGTAATAGTCTGCTGGCATTCAGTGACATCTCGTATAGCGGGAACCAAAGTTGGTCTATTTTAATAGTTAGTTATTAATTGAGAAACAGCTGGCTGGTTTGAGGTCTTTTCAGTCCAGGGTCAATGCCTCTTGGTGCTGTAGGTCTTTAGATTCAATGTTACTGCAGCTACTGATATTTTTTCTTGCCTCTGTTAGGTTGGGAGGTTCGTGGCTTTCTTGATGACACCAGAGATATGTTTGTGCGATCCTCCAAGCTAAACAGCTAGTAGTGGTGGTGGCGGTAAGCACTTTCCTTCTGGAGAATCGAAGCCGCAAAAGCTCCAAAGCAGGGTTCCCGACAGTGACGAAGATGGTCTTCTGGCTGCCAGCATCACTGCTGGAGTACTGTGGACCTGATCATTGTGGGGGGTTTTTTACTGACGGCGGGTCTCAACGGTTCTTCATCCAGTTTTCCTTCATGAAAACTGAAAGCCGAGTGGCTCCGTCTACAGAGGAGACGATGGTAGCTGTGAAGAAATAAACAAGAGCGGCAGGGACTTCTGCAACACATCCCTTTCTTGTCTCACGACAACCTTGTCCAGCTCCGCGGCCCGCACAACAAAGTGCTAGTTTACGAGTTTCTAAGGAGGACAACCGGCTTGATCTCAAGAGAGGTTAGTTTGCAGGTTTTAGTCACGATGCACACTGTTGGATCGTTTGAGCCAAATGAGGCGCGATCCATGCTGTTGGATAGAAGGATTTCTAGGTTTTTCCGGGATTGTGTTCTTTCTCTCGCCATCGCTGCCCGTTCTTTCCAGGTTTGTTGTGTCTAGCTTTCTCTACAAGCCCTCGTTTTTCTCTCTTTTTCTTTAGGGATCCTCACTGGCGGGATTGTCCATCCAAGCTGCTTCTTTCTAGGTTTGTTGTGTTTCGGGAGGTCGAGAAGGCCGAATCTCAAGGAGACGGCCAAAGATTCCCCTGTCTAACTGTGCAAGCTTGTTTTTTCTCTCTTGTCTTTACTGAGTTTGCCGGTGCAGGTTTGTTGTTGAGTTTCGTCTCTTAGCTCCAGTGTGAACGCTTTTTCCAGTGATGAAGACCAGATCATCTCCAGGAATTCTCTCAGGTGTGCAGTGTTTTAAACTGGATGGATTTGATCTTTTCCTGTTTTTCTTTGTTTAGGGGGTATCGATCGAGTGAAGACTACATATCCATATGTAGCAGTTAAAAAAGCAGACAGAGAGCATGGAGGATATCCAATGGACAGGTTTTGCTATGAAAGAAATGTAAGTTTTATATTTCTCTCAGGCTTTGTGATATTATTTTTCTTTCTTTAATTTCTAGGGACGAAGGGTCTACTTTCCTCGGCCTGAGGATATGCCTGCGGAGGTAACTTTTCCCCCTTACTTAAAGGGCGTGTGCTTAGAGGAGGCACAACAAGCATATCAACAGAAAAAACCAAATATCCAGTTTCTACCAAATGGTGCCAAAGCAGAATTTAGTAAAGCAACTAAAGGCATGTTCTGGGTCACTGTTGGACAGTAAGTTTTCCTTTTGTTTCTCTTTAGTTTTATATTTTTATTTTTATTTTATTTTTCAGGAATTGTACTTTGGATGACATCCCAGTTGCAATTAATGAGTTACTTTTTTTTTACTGCCTTCCGGACGAGTTTGACGACGGGCCGGCGATGGACTAGGCTGGTAATGAATTAGTTTATGGCCTCTTTTTGTATAAATTGCGGTTATTATGAGTTTAGGGTAGTTTATGGCCTTTTTTTTGTATAAATTGCGGCTATTATAAATTTAGGGTAGTAGAGAAAACTTTTTTGATAAATAATATATAGGAGTTTCGATGCTGTAATCACTTTGATGATAGTTTATTTTGAGAGCTTGTGTTGTTTTTTTTCCAATGGCTATCACCTTGGCTTTGCCTCATCTGCTAAAGTTAGTGTTGGCTCTGGGAATGTGAACTGCTGTGGAACTCCCGGGATGGAATCAAGGAGCTCATCACTCACATTCTTCTGTTTTGCAGCCTCTGCTGTGTGAAACACTCAATAGCCTTTAACTCAGCTCAAGTATGACAATGGCACCTCACTCACTTGTCTTGAGTTGAAACTCAAAGTTCCTTAAGACTAAGACAAACAACTGCTATATATAGAGTTGGTCATCCTGAAATGTCTGTATGGGCAAATAATATAAATATAAATCTGTAAACTAGAATTATGTATCAATACTGGGCACAATTCCATAACTTACACTAAGAAAACCAAGAAACATATAAAGACAAATTTTAAAATGTAAACCAAGAAGCCAATAAGGACAAATTAGAAAAGCCATTTCCTGAACTCCTCCAGATCTTCTGCCTCCAGACCTTCCAGTTTCTCATTGATGATTCTAAATATAGGATTGCCTTGGTAAACTTGGTTATCCAGCATTGCCTTGGTAAATTTGGTTTTGAGAAAAATTCTGAGATCAAGTCATAGTTTAAGCATTAATGTCAATGCTTTATTAAGGTTAACTTGCTAGAGTTTGTTCTTTTGCAAGAGGTAAATGAAAGTCTTCAAAAACTGCATTGGACTTCCATTCACTGACGTTGACTTTGAGCTCTCAGGTCAGCTGGTGCATGTTCCCGAGTTTTCTTTTTTTCATTTTGCTGCAGTGGAAAGCATAGAAAATCATCAGGTAGTGTGGTAGGCCATAGGAGGAAAGATCTAGTTGTTTGTGTTTTGAGGGATTTGCAAAAGCTTCCCACAATATTTGTTGCTCAAGGATATTATCTATCCATCGTTTATAATTTAGTGGTGCCCAACCTCGAAGCATGTCACAAATGAATGCAAGTGTTTGTGAAATTTGCTAATACGAAAGACCGAGGATTTACTTTGGCAGTGATCAAATTCGCGAGAATAGTTCTTGGATGCTGCCCTTCTGGACGTCACCCGCGCATATCTGCGAGAAAGAGCTTCCACTGTTCTAAGAGAATCCTCGTCTGATCAGCAAGACATTTACCTCCACGATTTTCTCTGAGGCTTCCGGGACCACGATCGCTGCCACGCAAACTTCCGCGACCTGATCCACGAGCCGCAAGACCTTTTAGATGCATGCTTTCCACCTTCGATCGACTGATACCACCTATGAAGAGCGAGTCGGCTGGCCTCATCTCATCCTGAAACAAAAAGAAACGTTATCTAACTTTTAGTGCCGTGTTGACCTAAAAGAGGCGAGCGATAATATTTGCTCGAGGCGCTGGGCGTGGGCGCCGATCGGGTGAGGTTTTTCGCGATTTTGTGCGCAGCGCATTCGTGCTTTGATGATCTCCAGCAGTAGAGATTCTAAAAGAATGGAGCTGCCTGTGTTGTGTCTTTGGATTTTAGGGGTTTTAGAGGAGAAATGGCCACCGTCGTGGCGCCTTGCCAGAGACCAGGGCTTAGTTTCGAGCTTTCCCGGTGCTTTATTTCCTCTTGCTTCAGATTCTTCTTTTTGTTCTCTCTCGGTTCTTCCTTTTCATGTCAATTTTACTTCCTCTAATTTGCTACGTGCTTTTGCAGGCAAGGTGCTTCACTCGGTACTGTAAATCCAGTTCCGCGTTTGCCTTGTCTTCGAAATTCAAGGTAGATGTTTCAAGCATTGTTTATGGTTCTCATCATGTAGGAACTTGGTTGCGTGCGCGGAAGCTGATTGAAATTGCCGGTACTTGTTTTTTCTTTCATTTTCGTGAATCTTACGGACTAACACATGTCGTGAACTGTAGCGTGCTTTTGCAGGGTCTAGCCAATTCTCCACAGCGAGTGTTTCTCCTGTAGCTGAAGAGATGGCTGTCAAGGAGGCTCCCAAGGAGATTTTTTTGAAGGATTACAAGCCCACTGGCTATCACTTTGACACGGTAACGCACCGTGTGGATTTTGGATGCTGATTTCGTTTTTTCCACCCAGGTCGAGCTGAAATTTGTTCTGTCTGAGAAAAAGACAACCGTGGTGTCTAAGATCCGGGTTTTGCCGAGAAACTCAAGTATTTTCTTTTTCCACTTTCGTTGTTTCGTTCGCTATCTTGGTAGTCATTAACCAGAAGCCATGCAGGTGAAAGCCCGCCATTGGTTTTGGATGGTCGCGACGTGAAACTTCTCTTTGTTAAAATCAACGGCGAAGAACGGAAGCTGGAAGAAGTTGAGCTGACCAGCCGTCATCTGACGTTGAAGTCACTTCCTGTTCAGCCTTTTGATTTAGAGATTGGCTCTGAGATACACCCGGAGACTAACTTGTCTCTCGAAGTAAGTGGGATCAAGTTTTTTAGTATGGTTATTTTTTTTTTCTCCAACAGGGGCTCTACAAGTCTTCCAGCGGCATGTTTTGTACACAATGCGAAGCTGAAGGTTTTAGAAAAATAACCTTTTATCAGGTCTTTTTTTGTGACAATGTTTGGCTGACATTCTGGCGAGCTATTACAGGATCGGCCAGACGTTATGGCAAAGTTCACTACCAGGATAGAAGCGGACAAAGCACAGTGTCCCGTTCTTTTGTCGAATGGCAACCTTATAGACTCCGGCGACCTCGAGGTTGGCATTGTTTCTTCACTGGCATTGTGTAGAGCCTGACGTGCTGTGGTCAGAATGGATTTCATTATGCTGTGTGGGAGGATCCTTTCAAAAAGCCTTGCTACCTCTTTGCCTTGGTAGCGGGGCAACTCACGTCCAGAGACGATACTTTTAAAACGCGTTCAGGAAGGGATGTTCAACTGAGGATTTGGACTCCTGCACAAGACGTTCCAAAGACAGAGCATGCTATGCATGCTCTCAAGCTTTCAATGAAGTGGGATGAGGATGTAAGTAGAAGTCTTTTTTCTCTCTCTGTCTCTTTTATCTCAACTTCGCACAGGTGTATGGGTTGGAGTATGATCTTGACCTGTTTAACATTGTCGCTGTTCCCGATTTCGACACGTAAGATGCTGTTTTTGTTCGTTTTTGGTAACTGATGCACGGTGTAGGGGTGCTATGGAGAACAAGAGCTTGAATGTGAGTCTCTTTTTTGCTGTTGTATTCACTTAATTTTTCTATTCGTATCAGATATTCAACTCGAACCTTGTTTTGGCGTCTGCTGAAACTGCTACAGATGTTGACTACGCGACAATTTTGCGTGTGATCGGTCATGAGGTTGGTCTGAATTAGAGGTTCTACAACCGCTAACCTCTACGTTTGCTTTGCAGTACTTCCACAATTGGACTGGGAATAGGTACGTCGTCGCATTGTCACTGCTTTAGCTGATATAGTCATGTAATACAGGGTGACATGCCGTGATTGGTTTCAATTGAGTCTGAAGGAGGGTCTTACAGTTTTCAGGGATCAGGTGCGTATAGTTTTTGCGTTGGTTTCTTTGTGTACTGAAATGCCAAGTTACAGGAGTTTTCTTCTGACATGGGCTCTCGACCTGTCAAACGTATCGGTGATGTCGCTCTTCTCAGAACAGCACAATTCTCAGAGGTACCAGAGGTTTTTTTCTTCTTTCTCCTCAAATCACACTGACCTTGTTGTCCGCAATAGGACGCTGGTCCCATGGCGCACCCTGTCCGTCCGCATTCTTACATTAAGGTACTCCTCATTTGCAAAAACTCTTACTAAAAAAGAGCTTATTTGCAGATGGACAACTTCTATACGGGTATGAGCTTTAGAATTGTAGTTTTGCCGCGACTGACATTTTGTTATCTGTCCTTACTATTTACGTAGTGACGGTAAGAAGTTCGAAAACGATATTGTTAGGCGTCTTAATTCTACGTCTATGTCTACAGGTGTATAAAAAGGGTGCGGAAGTGGTTCGCATGTACCAAACATTGCTTGGGAAAGATGGGTTTCGGAAGGTTTGTGTTCAGTATTCTTATATCTTTGCAGACGGTGTTGCACAGGGCATGGACTTGTACTTTGAACGTCACGACGGACAAGCTGTAACTTGCGAGGATTTCTTTGCTGCTATGCGAGACGCTAATTCCGCCAATCTTTCAGTTTTCTTGAGATGGTAAGCTAATGCACAAGTGTTCACCTGCCTGACCATGTTCTTACAGGTATTCTCAAGCTGGAACACCCGTTCTTACTGTTTCGACAGCGTATGATGCTGCAGCTCGTAGCTATACTGTAAAGTGCAAGTAAGAGGTGGCCTTTCTATTCTTTATTTCTCCTGCATTTTCTCCTTAGGCAAGAAATTCCTTCTACACCTGGGCAACCTGTGAAGGAGCCGACGTTAATACCATTGGCTGTGGGTCTGCTAAATTCAAAAGGCGAGGATATGGTGTTGACCGAGTTGCTTGATGGAGGATCACTCAAGTCATTGAAAGACACAGCGGGGGGACCTGCAAAGACAGCAGTAGTTGTTGTTGATAAGGTGAGGGTGCATCTTGTTTGGTTTTGGTGTTCTAACCAGTGTACTTTTCCAGGAAGAGCAAGAGTTCACTTTTCTCAATTTGCCTGAGAAACCTGTGCCATCTTTCCTAAGAAACTTTAGTGCTCCCGTGCGCCTTGTGACGCCGACTGTGACGGATGACGATTTGCTCTTTTTGCTCGCGCATGACTCCGACGAGTTTAACAGATGGGAGGCTGGACAGACGATGGGAAGAAAACTTATGCTGGATCTTATTCCGAAAGCACAAAGAAACGAACAGCTCGCGGTTCCATCCGCATTTGTGGAAGGCATGCGCAGTATTCTCAACGATTCCTCGTTAGATAAGGCATGTTTTTCTCATGCTTCTAGGCTCTAGCTGACGGACATATTACAGGAATTTGTGGCAAAGGCACTAACACTTCCTGGAGAAAGCGAACTGATGGACTTGATGGAGGTTGCAGATCCAGATGCAGTACATACTGTCCGAAAATTCGTGATAAGAGAGCTTGCGTCGAAACTGAAGCAAGATTTCCTGAAAACTGTGAGTATAGACTTATCGTGTTTGTTTCTGCCATGACATCCGTTTTCTGATGCAGGTGACTGAAAACCGAAGTTCTGATCCGCACTACACATTCGATCACAAAAACAAAGCCAGGAGATCCTTAAAAAACCTCGCTCTCGGTGAGTCGCTTCCTTGATAGTTGTTCTCTTAGAGTTGAGTGCGTGATTTGCAGACTACCTCTGCTCTCTGGACGAGGCGGACACTACTGAGCTTGCTTTGAACGAATACAAAAGCGCAACAAATATGACAGATCAATTTGCAGCCCTCTCTTCACTTTGCCAGAATCCTGGGGACGTGCGTGATGAAGCTTTGGCAAACTTCTACGAGCAGTGGAAGGACGAAACTTTGGTAAGAATTTCCTTTGCTTCTCTTTTCATGGAGACTGAGCAAAACCATGCAGGTTGTGAACAAATGGCTGGTGTTACAATCTATGTCTGATATCCCTGGAAATGTTAAGAACATGAGGCGATTGCTAGATCATCCGTCCTTCGATATGAAGAACCCAAACAAGGTTCCGTGTTTCAGATCACCTTTCTCAGGAGCTAAAACATCCCTTGCTACACAGGTGTATTCTCTGATCGGTCCTTTCTGTCGGACCGCTGTCAACTTTCACGCTAAAGATGGCTCTGGCTACGAGTTTTTGGCAGAGGTGACTTTGCAGTTGGACAAAATGAATCCTCAGGTAACTCAAGCACAGTTTCTTCGTATCTTAACTTCGTCCTCACAGATGGCATCGCGAATGGTATCGTCATTGTCGAGGTGGAAACGCTTTGATGAAGGCAGACAATCGCTGGCTAAGGTTAAGCAGTGTTTGTTTTCCAGGTCTTCTCTTCTCAAATGTGTGTGACTTTGTCCTTGTAGGCTCAACTGGAACGCATTGCTAAAACCGATGGCCTGTCAGAGAATGTGTTTGAGATCGCCTCCAAGAGCCTGGCAGCGTAAGAAAGATCAAGGAGTTCGCGATCGTAAGCTCGTTGTTGCATTCTTCTTGATAGATATACAAGCTATTTGCTTGGGAAAAATCACACCTTTTCAGGTCGAGCAAGCATTTGCCATAAGATTGTATACAGCTTCACCACCCAGCTCCTCAAAAGCCACCTCAATTCTTCCACTTTCTACAAGCCGCTGGTGCCACGCCAACGGAGAAATCACCACCGCTTCGTCTAGACATCGTCCTCGCAAGCTTCACTCATCTCGTCCGCCCGGCTCAAGATATCCGTCCTCCATCCCGGGACGAACACATACCGGCACTCCCGGCCTTTGATCAACAAGACCACCACCACCAAGCGCGATATGCAGAAGATTGTGGCGCGGACGAAGCATCGGCGAGCTCGTGAGTGGAAATTTTCTTCTCTTGTTCTTGCGTCTTGGCTGTTGTTGATCGCATCGGTCTGTGCAGGGCATATGAAGCTCCTGAATAAGCGTATCCGGTGGAGGAAGAGCTCGTCCGGCAGCCTCACATCCTGGATAGCTCGACTCCCAACGTGGCTGAGGAAGATCGGCAAGAGAAATCTTTGCTCGATAATGCGCTGGATGAAGAAATCTCCGACGAGGATGCTGCGTCGGATGATGGCGAGGATGGAGTTGAGGAGTCGGAAGAGCCCGAGGCCGTTTCTTCTTTGCCAGGTAATTTGAGAGAGGAGAACGAAGCTGACGATGGAGTGGAAGAGTCAGAAGAGAGAGATCGGCTCGAGGGCATCTCTTCTTTGGGAGGAGATTTGAGAGAGAACGTAGAAGCTGGGGCTGAGGCAGTCTCGAAAGAAGTTTCTGGCAGCACTCCCGTGGATTCGTCTAAAGGCACAAAATCAAAGGAGCATCCCCGGCACGATCAAGATGGTAAGAAATCAAAGGAGCAGCCCCGGCACGATCAAGATGGCACGGAACCAAAGGAGCAACCTCGGCACGATCAAGGGCGGTTTGCTGATCTCAAGGTTTTCGTGGCCGGTGCCTCGGGAAGAACTGGAAGGTTCGTGAGTTCGTTTTTCCGTTCTTGCTTTTTTCTTTCGTTTTTGCCTTTGTAACCAAGTTTTGATTCTCTAAACTCAGGCTCGTGGTGGAAAAGCTCTCGAAAGGAGGTGCCAAAGTGATAAGGCCAATCGATTCAACGAGCAGGGCAACGTGACTGTAAGTTGAAATTTGTGCTGCTGGTGTCACTGCGTTTTCTGGTAACGTGTCTTCTTTCTGGACAAGCAGGCTGTCCGTGGCGACATTTGTAAATACGAAACTCTCAAGTAAGCACTGGGTGATAGGTACGTTTGGCTCTTTCTCATCTTCCAGTCTAAAGCAAGCTTTACAGTAATGCGGTCGTGTGTGTCATTGGGACGAAGTTTTTGCCGCTGGATATTATGAAGACTTACCAGGTTCTTAAGTTGTTAATCACATTCTCTTTGACACTGAGTGATTTTTTTCCAGATCGAGTATGAAGGAGTTGTGAACCTTATCTCGGCAGCCAAGAACCAAGGACAAGTGAAAAAGGTAGCAAGGAAAGTATTGTCTATCCAGACTGACATTTAACTCGCAGTTTATACTGGTTACGTCGATTCTCGTCATTCCTCCAGATAATCCCCATTCTGTGGTGGTAAGCGAAACAAGCTTTAACTTCGCAAGAATGTTGTCTCACTCGTTTTATCCTTCCTCAGGAAAAGGCAGGCAGAGCTTTGCAACGCTCGGGGCTTGAGTACACTATCGTAAGGCCTGCTGGTCTACGAGAGAACGCACCCGCTGTAAACGTTGCTATTCTCTCCTAAGTTTCTTAGAGATAACGTTTCTTTTTGTTCCAGGATGAGGCTCTCGTCATGACGCCAGCCGACTCGCTCTTCATAGGTGGTATCAGTCGATCAAAGGTAAGAAACTCTAGCAGGACAGCATGCATCTAAAAGGTCTTGCGGCTCGTGGATCAGGTCGCTGAAGTTTGCGTGGAAGCGATCGTGGTCCCGGAAGCCTCAGAGAAAATCGTGGAGGTAAATGTCTTGCTGATCAGACGAGGATTCTCTTAGAACAGTGGAAGCTCTTTCTCGCAGATATGCGCGGGTGACGTCCAGAAGGGCAGCATCCAAGAACTATTCTCGCGAATTTGATCAATGCCAAAGTAAATCCTTGTTCTTTCGTATTAGCAAATTTCACAAACACTTGCATTCATTTGTCACATGCTTCGAGGTTGGGCACCACAAGATTATAAACGATGGATAGATAATATCCTTGAGCAACAAATATTGTGGGAAGCTTTTGCAAATCCCTCAAACATAAACAACTAGATCGTTCCTCCTATGGCCTACCACTACCTGATGATTTCCTATGCTTTCCACAGTTTTTTACCACTGCAGCAAAATCAAAGGAGTCTCACAAAGAAAAAAGAAAACTCGGGAACCTGACCTGAGAGCTCAAAGTCAACGTCAGTGAATGGAAGTCCAATGCAGTTTTTGAAGACTTTCATTTACCTCTTGCAAAAGAACAAACTCTAGCAAGTTAACCTTAATAAAGCGCTTAAACTATGACTTGATCTCAGAAAGCATTAATTTTTTCTCAAAACCAAGTTTACCAAGGCAATCCTGGGCCTGAGATCCAGCAGTCGTTTGCCTTTAGTCTTAAGGAACTTTTGAGTTTTAATTCAAGATGAGTTTCATGGTGCACCATTGTCATACTTGAGCTGAGTTAAAGGTTGTCCAATGCTTCACACGGCAAAATAGAAGAACACGAGTGACGAGCTCCTCAATTCCATCCTGGGAGTTCCATGGTGGTTCATGTTCCCAGAGCCAGCACTAACTTTAGTAGGACAAGGCGAAGCCGAGATGATAACCATTGGGAAAAAGGCAATATAAGTTCTCAAAGTGAGCTATCATCAAAGCAATTATAGCATCGAAACTCTTATATATTATTTATCAAAAAGACTCTTTCGACTATCTTAAACTTATAATAGCTGCGATCTGTACAAAAAAGCTTCGCATTTATAAAAAAGAATACTTTATGATAAACTAGTCTATCACCGGTCCGTCGTCAAACTTGTCCAGAAGGCAATAAAAAGAAATAGATTGTTGATTGCAGCTGGAATGCTATCCAAGTTAGAATTCCTAAAAAAGAAAAGACTAAAACTAAAGAAAAGAAACAAAAGAAAACTTACCGTCCAACAATGACTCAGAACACACCTTTGGTTGCTTTACTAAATTCTGCTTTAGCACCATCTGGTAGAAACCAGATATTTAATTTCTTCCGTTAATATGCCTATTATGCCTCCTCCAAGCATGTGCCCTTTAAGTAAGGGGGAAAGATTACTTTCACAGGCATATCCTCAAGCCGAAGAAAGTAGGCCCTTTGTCCCTAGAAATTACACAAAGAAAAACAATATTACAAAACCCGAGACAAATATAAAGCTTATATTTCTTTCATAGCAAAACCTATCCATGGGATATCCTCCATGCTCTCTGTCTACTTTTTTAACTGCTACATATGAATATGTAGTTTTCACTTAATAGATACCCCCTTAAACAAAGAAAAACAGGAAAAGATCAAATCCATCCAGTTTAAAACACTACACACCTCAGAGAATTCCTGGAGATGATCTGGTCTTCATCACTAGAAAAGGCGTTCACACCGGAGCTAAGAGACGAAACTCAACAACAAACCTGCACCGGCAAACTCAGTAAAGACAAGAGAAAAAAAACAAGCTTGCACAGTTAGACAGGGGAATCTTTGGCCGTTTCCTTGAGATTCGGCCTTCTTGACCTCCCGAAACACAACAAACCAAGAAAGCAGCAGCTTGGATGGACAATCCACGAGGATTCCCTAAAGAAAAAGAGAGAAAAACGAGAGCTTGTAGACACAACAAACCGGGAGAACAGCCACCGGGTTCCCTAGATCCCCGGAAAAACCTAGAAATCTCCCATAATATTGGGCATGGATCGCGCTCATTTGGCTCAAACGATGATTAGGTCCACAATACTCCGGCAATGATGCTGGCATGCTGTGGTGATCATTGTGGGGGTCTCTTGCTGACGGCAGCTCTCAGCAATTCTTCATCCAGTTTTCCTTCATGAAAACTGAAAGCCGATTAGCTCTGTCTACAAAGGAGACGATGGTAGCTGTGAAAAAATAAACAAGAGCCTAGAAGTAGAGATGTCTTCTTTTCCATCACTGTCAATTGCCACAAACTATTGACACTTGATTGGGGGCTTGATTGCTGTGGGAAGATTGTGAGTAGCATAAAGTCTAAGACTTATCAAAGATCACATCATGACTGTGAAAGATCTTTGAACTAGAAAGGCTGTAGAGCTTGTAAGCCTTCATTTCTAGTCACCATAGCCAATGAGAATGGCCTTCACGCTGCAATCTTCAAGTTTGGTGCCATGCTTCTTGGTGACAAAAGCATAGCCAAAAATACAAAGATGACTACAAGTCTGGTTTCTTGCAAATATTACAAAAGCTATTATCCTTGTGCTTCTTGTCCTTCTTTTTCTTGGCATTTTGCCCATTGCGCTTCCAATTTTTGGCTGCACCCTCTTGGTGTGGCCCAAGCCTATCCCAGACAGAGACCTTGGCATGATTGTTCACAAACATGGTGATCAATCTCCTTGCCCTAATTCATCTTGTGTGTGCTGCATGAGCATGTTGATGCATCCTAAGCTACTCTCTCCGGTCTCCTTGTCATCTTAGATCATACTCCTCTAATACCATGTTGTGAATTTCAAGCTCAACAATTCAATCTCAATTGAACATCATAACATGGTATCAGAGGAGTATAATTTAGAATGATGAGGAGATAGAGAGAGTAGCATAGGATGCATCAGAATGCACACAGCAAAACAAGGTGAATTAGGGCAAGGAGATTGATTGTTTGGTTAAGTAGCCTTCAAAGGTGATGAATTCTCCCCCTCCCTCCCTTCTCATCCCTGATTTTTCCATTTGGAAATATATGCCATTTGTCCAATGAGATTCCAAGCCCAAAATCCTTAGGAGGAGCCTTGGCCGTAGCAAAACTTGAGTTTTAGGTGATTTTTCCATTTGGAAATATATGCCATATAGCTGAGCAAAATTTAAATTTTAGGGCTATAGGCCACTAAATGAAAGAATAAAGTTAAATTCCCAAACTTGCAGTTAAAGAACAAAAGAACTAAAGCACAAAAAGTGTTCACAAGGAGAAAAGGGATAAGAATGTGGAATGACATTAAACAGTTCTAAAGTTTTTAGCATCCTAATGTTATAATTAGCATGTAAAATGGAGCAAAATGACTATTTCAGTGTATTAATGGCCCATATAAAATATCAATCTAGCATGGTATAGAAATTAAACTTAAACCACAAAATAAAAATAAGCATGTAAGCAAAAGCTAAACTATGCCTTAAAATAGTTAACCATAACCACCCTACTATACATTTTAAACACATTCACATCAAATGCTACCTGAATGAACAAAGGCTATGGGGTGTGACTATGCCCCACAAAGACCTTGAACAGCTCCCCAAGACGAGCAGGACAGGACAAATGGGCTGTGATTAATTGCAAAGCCCTTGGCAAGGTTTTCCAAGCCTTACACACACGAAACTTTTTGAGTAGTATCACATTGCACAAAAGCATGTGAGGTGTGGGCAACCCTTACAGCAATTCATGAGCAGCAGACACCCGCTAATCGCATGCATCTTCACCAAAAGCTCTACTCCATGGCAATGTCCAAGGCCGATGACCATGTTGCTGTCATCAAACAAATCTTGGACGACCTAGTTGCTGTGGGCGCACAGATGGATGAAGCTGAGGAATATGAGCATCTCCTCAGCTTGCTCCCCTCCACCTTCGATACAACCATCCAGTCGCTTCAACCCACAGTCCCCGGTGGTCAAATTTCCTAGCGAGAAGTCACGACAGCGTTACACAACACTGCCTTGCGACGAAAAACGATGGAAAAGAGTGAGACTTCTTCCTACAATACCACAGCTCGGCCAAGCAAGAAGAAACTGTCGGAGTTCTTCCAGCACAACCAGAAAATTCAACCCTTGCCCACATTGCAAGAAAACGAATCATGCTGAACACAACTGTTGGTTCAAATACCCAGAGAAATGACTGAAGACGAATGCTAAGGCATTGATGGTTCATCAAGCTGATGCAACAGCTTTTGGCTCAGTACGTTCACTCTCGCATCTAAAAATCAAGAAACGTTTTTCTTTGATTCAGGAGTGACGGATCACTTGACGCACGACGCTCAGTGGTTCAAGACGCTCCAAGATGTTGATCCACCAGCCACAGTTGCAGTAGGGGATGGAAGACAGCTCCAGGTCACTGGTCGAGGTACCATCTTGCTCAAACGTGAGAGTGGTTTTAGCACCACAATTCATGATGTATACCTTGTTCCAACACTTAAGTGCGAACTTGCTCTCTGTCGGCCAACTCACTGAATCTGGATTTGACATTCGTTTCGGCAAATCTGGATGCATTTTGCTCACTCCCGCGGGTGACTTAGGATTTGTTGGCATTTGACAAGCTGGGAAAGGTCTATACAAGCTTTGTATGGAGCCAATACGAGCTGCTGAAGTGGTTGAACGCCCTCATCAGTTCCTCACGTTCATGGCTTCTACCCTGGACGAGCTTGAGCTGTGGCATCGCCGTTTCGGACATGCGAGCACACGGCGCATTGCTCAGCTCACGACGGACAGACTTGTCAAAGGCCTTGATTCCCAGTTCACAACCACTGCAAAACTTTCCTTTTGCGATGGTTGCCAGCTTGGGAAACAACACAAGCTTCCTTTTCCAAAGCGAGGAGCACGACGTGGCTCTGAAATACTAGAACTTGTTCATAGTGACATTTGGGGCCCTTATGGAGGTTCATGGTTTTTCATGAGTTTCATTGATGATCACGACAGAAAAATCTTTGTTTTCTGTCTGGCATCAAAATCACAAGCTCTGGAAAAACTCGAGGTTTTCAAATCCCTTGCGGAAAATCAAACGGGCAAGCAGCTCAAACGTTCTCGTTCAGATGGAGGTGGCGAATCACCTCCATCTGAACTCAGGTAACTCTACGCAAGTTCTCAACAGTGACAAGGATGGTCTTCCGGCAGGCAGCATCACTGCCAGAGTAGACGCAGAACGATCCCGCCAGCTTAAACCTGGTGGAGATATACCCAGAGAGCTGTACCAAAACGGAACTTCCAGGTCCTCCGTGTCTTCGAAGAGGACGTTTGGGAGAAACTCGTAAACGAGCATATGTTGTG